CTCTCCCACCTACCCACTCTCTCCCCACTCTCCCACTCTCTCCCTCTATCTCTCCCCCACTCTCTCTCCCCACTCTCCTCCCCACTCTCTCCCCACTCTCCCCACTCTCCCCACTCTCTCCCTCTATCTATCCCCCACTCTCTCTCCCACTCTCTCCCCCACTCTCTCTCCCCCACTCTCCCCACTCTCTCTCCCACTCTCCCCCACTCTCCCCCACTCTCCCCACTCTCTCCCCCACTCTCCCCACTCTCTCTCCCCACTCTCTCCCCCACTCTCTTTCTTTCCCCCACTCTCACCCCCACTCTCTCTCCCCACTCTCTCCCCACTCTCCCCACTCTCTCCCTCCCTCTCCTTTGTTACTTCGCTCCGGAGTGTGGTCAAGCGCTTCCGTTCCCCCCGTGACCCCCCACAACGCATCGCCTCCCAGACGCTCGGGGCGGCAGATGGAGGTCAGGGCCCCGACTCCCGCTGGGCCTCGAGGAGGGGGAGGGGCTGGGGGGGGACGAGGGGGGGGGGCGAGGGGGGGGGGGCTTTGGGGTGGTGGTGGGGGGGTCACTTCTGATCAACAGCAGGCAGGGTACTTACACAGCAGGTACTCACACAGCAGGTACCCACACAGCAGGTACCCACACAGTAGGTACTCACACAGCAGGTACCCACACAGCAGGTACTCACACAGTAGGTACTTACACAGCAGGTACTCACACAGCAGGTACTCACACAGTAGGTACTTACACAGCAGGTACTCACACAGCAGGTACCCACACAGTAGGTACTCACACAGCAGGTACCCACACAGCAGGTACTCACACAGTAGGTACTCACACAGCAGGTACTCACACAGCAGGTACTCACACAGTAGGTACTTACACAGCAGGTACCCACACAGCAGGTACTCACACAGCAGGTACTCACACAGCAGGTACCCACACAGCAGGTACTCACACAGCAGGTACCCACACAGCAGGTACTCACACAGCAGGTACTCACACAGCAGGTACTTACACAGCAGGTACCCACACAGTAGGTACTCACACAGCAGGTACTCACACAGCAGGTACTCACACAGCAGGTACTTACACAGCAGGTACTTACACAGCAGGTACCCACACAGTAGGTACCCACACAGCAGGTACTCACACAGCAGGTACTCACACAGCAGGTACTCACACAGCAGGTACTTACACAGCAGGTACCCACACAGTAGGTACTCACACAGCAGGTACTCACACAGCAGGTACTCACACAACAGGTACTCACACAGCAGGTACCCACACAGCAGGTACTCACACAACAGGTACTCACACAGCAGGTATCCACACAGCAGGTACTCACACAGCAGGTACTCACACAGCAGGTACTCACACAGCAGGTACTTACACAGCAGGTACTCACACAGGAGGTACTCACACAGCAGGTACTCACACAGCAGGTACTCACACAGCAGGTACTCACACAACAGGTACCCACACAGCAGGTACTCACACAGCAGGTACCCACACAGCATGTACTCACACAGCAGGTACTCACACAACAGGTACTCACACAGCAGGTACTCACACAGCAGGTACTCACACAGCAGGTACTCACACAGCAGGTACTCACACAGCAGGTACTCACACAGCAGGACACCCACCATTATACAGAGGCCGTACTAATACTAAACACACCGACACACAACATTACACATGTAGAGGTGATACGCGCTGGGATTAAGGATCGTATGCACAGTGTGTGATGATTGGCTGTGTAGGTGGTGACGCGCGCTGACGGTGGAGGATCAGGGGTCAGCGCGGGGTCGTGGGTTACGGGGTACCGATTGGCTGTGGGCGGTGACGCGCTGAGAGGGAGTGATTAGGTGGCAGCGCAGTGTGATTGGTGGAGTAATGTTAACACGCGCTGGGGAGAGCGGATCGTAGAGAGAGTGCGTCGTGATTGGGTCATTAAGGAACGACGCACACGTCGACGCCGCATCAGCTCCGTCCCTCGTGAGCAGGGGCTATAAAAGGGGATGCACACAGGCGTAAGGGCAGTGTGTAACCAGCGAAGAATGAAGACGGGGATGAAGACCTAGAGGCCTGCGGTACCTAGCCCCGCTGTCCTAAGGGGACCGGGACTCTGTGTAACCCAGAGGCGAGTGTAGTGGGTGTAGCCATAGGGCTTACACGAGTCGAGTGTATTGTGTAGCCAGAGGCATAGGGCTTACACGAGTCGAGTGTATTGTGTAGCCAGAGGCATAGGGCTTACACGAGTCGAGTGTATTGTGTAGCCAGAGGCATAGGGCTTACACGAGTCGAGTATATGGTGTGTAGCCAGAGGCCTAGAGCTTACACGAGATTAGTGGAGTGTGTCGGAGGAAGAAGGAAGACCACACGTTGTATTGTGATACCTAAAGGATTTAATAAAAGTGTGTTACCCGTCAAGAAGTTCCTGCCGTCAATTCCCATACTTCAACTGGCGTCAGAAGTGAAACGGTCCTCCAAGCATGGATACAAGGAGGAACCGTCGGACCCACGGGATTGACCACGAGGACAACCTCGACGACGCGGGCCAGCGGGCATCAGGGGGTGAGGAAGAGGAGCTGCCCACGGGGCAGGCGACCACCGACGGCGCCGGACGAGCGACGGGGGACTGACACCGTGCTTCGCGAGGCACACTCCCGTCTGGCGGACCTGCTGCTCGCCGCCGCGTCCATCTTGGCGGAGATCAGCTCGTCGGGAGGAGCGGGGACGGCGGCCGACGTGCTACATGGTCGCCCTGCAGATTCCCGCCAAAACGATTTGGCGATTCCCGCCATTTCATCCGCTCCAACTTTTGGCGGGAACGGCCATCACCACGTGGCAGGGGTTCTCCATGCGCGGCCGCTGACGTCACCAACGCGCGCGGCGGACCGCCATCACACACCCGCGACTGGGGCCGCCATCTTACACACCGACGGGGGTGCAGAGAGGAAGCACGAGGAGGAGGACGACTTTATCTTTCAGCAGCGCCTTCCCACGTTGTCAGCATTCAAGGCGGAAGGCGGGGATTGGAGCCTATTTCAGCGCAGATTTTTGGCGCATCAAGAGATGTCCGCCTGGTCCGACGCTACGGCACTGCGGGCACTGCCTGCCATGCTGGACGACAACGCGCTCGCGGCCTTCACGTCCGCACGCAGGTCGGACCGCTCCACGCTCAAGGATGCGCTGGCTCTCATGGCAAAAGTCTACGGTCCTCCCTCGGCGTGCCGCCATCATTTCTACGCAAGACGGAAGGCGGACACGGAGACCGTGCTCGCCTACCGCACGGCGTTGCTCGCTCTCGCTGACGCCGCGTTCCCTCGTATGGACGAGGAGGGCCAAGATGCGATGGTTTTGGAGCAGCTGCTCAAGTTGGCGCAGGACCTGGGGGTCCCCATCAACACGGCCGACGACACCGATATTTCTTCATTACGGGTCGCCACGAGCATGCAAGCGCACGAGGTCCTTCAACGAAAGCAGGGGGTCGTCTGCAACGCTGCTGTGGCCTCAACTCCGGGTCCGGTTGACACCGTGCCCCGAGTCGTCAGCCCACGAGAGGACGCGTTCATCGCGGGACGAGCGGGGGACTGGAGGTCGGGGGGTCGTTCGCCTCTGCGAGCGGCCCGCAAGCTGGAGCAACCGAGATCTCCGACTACTGTCATCACCTGCTATAACTGCGGCCTTCGTGGCCACGTGGCCTCCGGTTGCCGTGCCCCACGTCAGCGCGCCATGGGACCTCGGCTGGACGACGACCAAGGCCCCAAGTCATCACTGCAAACCCCGGCAAGTCGCGGCACCTCACATGCCTGGCCCGCATACTCGACACGTATGGGTCGTCGCGTTGCGACGAGGGAGAGCCGAGTAGAGTTCGGAGATTCGGTTCGGAGAGGGGGGTTCGGCCGGGACCGGGGAGACATTAAATGGTCGGAATTGGGGCACAGAATTGTGGCTGCCTCAGCGGGTTCATCCGTCGTTACCGGATCGATTGATGGGGTCGAGGTCAGGGTGTTAGTGGACACGGGGGCATCGGCGACTATTATTTCGGATCTCATTTATAATATTCTCCCGGTACAATGTCGTCCGCTTCTTCCGGTGGATGTGCCATTTTACGCCGCTAACGGGGGATCGTTGGGCATTATCGGTCAGATTAGGGCGTCCATTTGCATTGGTGATATCAAATTGTCGGGACCCGTTTTCGTTTCATCTTCCCTGGCGGTTCCTTGCCTAT